CATTTAATTCGCTTTTAATGCAATTTAACAACTTAGCTGGATTTACTATAATTACGAAACGCAATCTTACTGTTCCGAAGTTGGGCATCCTTGCGCGGCGGTTGGGCGGTTGCATGTGTGTGCGTAATTGAAAATTGCAAATGTCAAAGATAAACTTTAATACGGAAATTAAGAAGATAACAAACGACTGGCTCATTTGTCTTGAGTATCTGCTACAGCCATGGCACCAATAGCAGCAACAATGATACACGCTCGCTCGCTGGATCCCTCCACGCTACGATAAAATGAATGCACTGGTTATGCATCACTCATTACTTTCATTCTCAACCAATTCAAAGTTTCATATCTCAACTTCAAGCCAAGCCAACCACGCAAGGCAATGCAACGCATTATAAGCGAAAGGAGGGAAGGAAGGAAAGCAGGAAGAGAAATCAAAGGACCAAAGGCGCAAAGGAGCGTTGGATATGATGGCACGTTGGATACTGTTGATGGAATGACGGTATACTCGTACAAATGCAGTACGACGCGCAACGGGGAATGAATTATGGTCGTGCTTCGTTGGTTAACAGTTTGCAACTGTCGAGTTGGAAATTTTGTACGAAATCACTTTTTAACAACGCTGCAATTTTATAACAAGAAACAAACAATGAAAGCAACAGTAACAACAACAACAACAACATCAACACCAACAATAATAATAAGTGTATTAACAACAACAATATGCCATGCACATTGTAGTAAGTAAGGCAGTTGTGGTGGCATTCCATCGTGTCAGCAACAAATTCCTCACTGTCCGAAAGGAGTTGCTGACTGACTGACTTTGTTGCTGTTGTTATTATTGTTGTTGTTGTTATTATTGTTGCAGTTGGTGGCTGCTGGCGGTTGCTGATACACGCTTGTCGGTGCATCATTTTGTGCACATGTTTAAGTGCTTTAATTTTACGACATTGTATGAATTTATGGGTTATACGCTATACAAGCCATACACCTCATAGCAGCCATACCAGCCATACTACCCATGGAACGTTGGCACTTGCTCCGACAAACAAACAAGCAAGCAAGCGAGCAGTTGCAGTTGATGGCAACATGTACGTATGCCAGTTTACATTTAACAACAGCTCAACTCATATTTTTTTGAAATTGTTGTTGTCAGCGTAGTCATCACCGACAACAGCAACAACGCCATAACCAACGCCATATAAGGCGGCGGTGCCATTGCAATTGCCATCGTCAACGCCATCATCAGCGTAATAGTCATAATCATTGTTGTAGTTGGTAACAGCACAACAAACACCCAGAGCTGGCTACGTAAATTCTGAACTTAAACTATGAGGAGGTATTCCATGATGTTCATTACACTAAGGTTTCACACTACATAAATTCATATGTCCCTACATACGTAAGCGTTCACGGGTTCCATTAAAACTTGAAAAAGAAAGTATAATCATGAGAAGCGTTGTTGCTGCTCTTGGCACTTCTTCACTGGTGGGCTTTCTCCTCACAACCAATGCTGTTGTTGCTAGTCTCTGAAATGGCTTTGGTCCTCGGAAACGCATAGGTGAAACTTCTATTTCTGCTGTCGCTGTCTTGCCACAGGAATGCTGTTGTGCACACATATGGCATTTGTGCAGAGACCTGGAAGTCAATGGCAGCACCCACGGGAACTTGAAATAGAGAATTTATCCTTGTCCCATATTTTGTTGTCGAAATTGTAAACAACTAGTACGGCGGCAACAGCAATTGCTGGCTTATATGTATAAGTTATAGATTCCAATGATTCCACAACACTCACTGACACTCACTGGCACAGACACACACGTGTTAGATGAAGTGCGTGCCGGGGTAGAGGAAAGAGCGGCATTTTGATTTAAAATTTTGTACTTAAAACGGAAATATTTACGCTAACAAAACACATAAAAAGCATGTAACACTTTACCACTATGTTCCTCCAGAGATTAAAGTAATGGCCACATAAACACGGATACTTACGTGTGTACGAAAGCAAAGTAGCACTTCAGCGGCACAGCAAGGGAAGCAAGGGAAATTGCAAATAAACAGGCGGAAAGGCAGACAGACGGGAAGACGGACAGACAGTCTGTCTGACTGACACTTCGCGCATGTGAGAGGAAAACATTTAAAAAATATACTAAAAAGCTGGCAATGTATAGATTATGTGGAGCACGGTCTGCTGTGTACTGGCTGGAGTGAAAGTACGGGCGTACAACGTTTCGGTAATCGCACTGTTTAACCCATTAAGATTTTCATGTTTGTAGAATTATTATTTGCTTAATGGCTCATGCACGCGCTACGACGCGCTACGACGCGCTACGACTCGCTGAGACTCCTTACTCCCTGACTGCTTTCGACTTTATTTTCGATTGGTTGTGCGTGGTGTGAGACGTGCGGGGAGTAAGAGGTGCACTCATTACATTGTTACTGTTGTTACAAGTGTTTTACTATAAAACTGTGTGTTTCAACAATAAAATAAAAGCAAAAGTTGTTACTTTTCATTATTTGCTTAGTTGGTTGGTTCCATCTATCTCAACTTCTCAACCTTCTTCCAATCTTCATTACTGCAACTTCACAACTTTGCAACCCTGCAACCCTACAATCCTTCTCCAAAGGACTTGTGCCTTAAATTAAGCGTAGCAGCTGGCGTGCTCATATGTTGTCAGAAATTCAAATAATATTTTGCGCTATGTCAACACACATTTTCTGGTTACTGACTCAAATTATGAGCAATTAAATGAAATACTGAGTTCCAACTTATTTCGAACGTTACAGCACTGCAAAATGTTGCTGAGTCCTGCAGCTGATTAAACTTCCCAGTAAGGAGCTGACAAATATGTCAAAGTTTACTTGGTAGTTAGTTTTAAAATTTATGCTGACGGTCAATAATTTTTAGAGTTTCAAAGTTGAAATTAACAACAGCCAAGAATAATAAATAAATTTGAAATGATAAATAATAAAAACTATTCCAAATATGATTACAGTTTATTACAGGATTAAAAATATATTTCAATAATTTTCATAATACAACAAATCATACGTAATATGTTCTCCTCAATCTGTGATAACATAGGATGATATATAAATAGAAGCAAAAATTTAAGTAATAGTCAAGAAAGTATAGTACTTTTATATGACTTTAGAGTAGTATATCTATAAACATAATGACAAACATAATAAATGAACTTAAGGCCAAATGCTTAATACCAAATACTTGATATATATATATAAAATAAAGCAGTAACATAATTCGAAATCATAATTATTGTCTTTGGAGAATATTTGAAGCAATTCATTCCTGATATGCAAAGCTACTCAAACTCACAGATATTATACGTACTTAGTGTTGCCTGGCTAGATGCAAGACTAAAAAGGCAGCCGACTTTTCAATTGGTCCTACCAGGCATCACAAATCTAAATGAAATTAGAAATCTCAGCATTTTGCTTATATTAGCACATTACTTCTTATAGACCTCAGCATACCATTATCTGTTCTAATTCCGTCATTGGAGTATCAAAACAAAGTAAGTATCAAGGCACTTATGCAGCTTTATTATTATTACCAAGTATATATATACCAATCTTTACCTCTTAATCTATGATGGTTGCGATGCCACAGCTATGAAGAATATATATGTATATATATATATATATTAGTCCCTACGTATGTATATAATAATCCATACCTGTTAACACATGATATGTACACTTCTTTATAAAAAGAAAAACAAACCGTTGAGATCACTTGTGCCAAGAGATTAAATATATCAAACCATTATTCATTTTCGTATATTAAAAGCTGTATGATCTTCCAAAAATTTGATTAATTAAAAATAATAAAAATATTTTTGTTGTTGCAATTCACTATTTTCGATAAAAACCTCTCTATTGCTGTAATCGAAATTTGTTTTGTTATATGCCTTGCAATCGGATATTCTCTAATAAGCAAGAATGTACAGAGACTAGTGGTTCTAACTGATAATATTTAAGGCCTATTTCAAGAAAAAACGGAAGACTCGAGCTCTTATTTATTTTGCAAATTATTTTTAATTGTATAGGAATGAACATGGAAAAGTATGAACTTGCATAAAAAGTTATAGAAAAAAGTAATTGTGTGAATATTAAAAGATGGTGTGAATTTAACCTGGATACTGGAACAGGTGTAACTGCATATAGGCCGACCATGATATCTTTATAGTAAAGTGTTTAAAAGTTTTTAAGAGTGTGAACACCCATTGGTTCGGGTAGTCAATAAAAGTTTTGGACTTTATCTAAATTGCTTTGAGAAGTTAATATGCAATTCCTGTAAAACTTATTTCAGGAAACTCTGAAGAGGCATTAGAAGTGATATCGAAATCTTTATGAGGTTTAGAGAATATAAATAATTTGAAATGATTTTTGTAACTCTGAAACCAGTAATACACATTAATGCCGCCACACTTATTATAATACTAAATCACTAAATGGGATTTAACTAATATAGTCAATTTTAGTAAAGAACTGTAATACAACAACAAAGTTCATTGTAAAACCGGTTGCAACCATTTCATCTAATACACTCTAGGAAGAGTTATAACAGATTTGTCATCAGAACACTTAATCCCTGGATGGAGAATATCTTATACTAGAGACCGAAAGAAATGCAACAGATATATGGCAGATACATTATCTAACACAACCAAGGAGTTAAAGGGCAGATTTCATGCTTTAACACTTAGAGTACTAGGCTTTTGCCATCCTTTGAGTTCGATTTGTCGATTCAGTTTATCTAAAAGGAAGAATGCTTGATATGTTTAATAGCGAATTTTAAAGTTATCACAACTTTTGCAATCGATTTGCTATGTTCTTTATTTCGATTATTCGGAGTATATTAAAACTATTATTAAAATCCTTACTTGTAATATTTGATTAACTTTCCACATCTCTTTATTATTAGTTTTAGAAAAAAACATAGAATCCTTAAAAATAAAAACGTTTTTATTATTTTACAGATGGTGACGAGAACGAAGAAAATTTTTGTGGGTGGGCTTTCAGCGCCCACGACACTTGAAGATGTTAAAAGCTATTTTGAGCAGTTTGGTCCGGTAAGTAAAAATCAAAAAACCTACAGCCATACGTAGATGTACATAATGATATATAATGTATTGAAAAAGAATTGTCGTGTTGAAATAGCTTTTTAAATTATTTTGAAAAATGAAATTTATTGCCATGAGTTTGGAAAAAAATATGAAGGAAATGGAATCATCCCACACACACTTACCCATGTACAAAATTGTCAATAATAATTGCAGACATATGCTTCTGGTGTACCGGTATACTGATGTACTAATGTACTGCTGTGCTGATGTACTGATGTACTGGGGTATTGGTGTGTTGGTGTGTTGGTGTGCTGGTACATTGCATACTCCAATAATGAACGAACAGTCAATATTGCAGAATTGAGTGTTATTTGATTGACTGACTACTTGACATGCTTATAAGTTACTAGTAACATGAATTATAGTTATTGTACTTATTGTACGAGTGAGCATTGAGTATTGGAATGGCAAAGTACAAGTACGAATACGAGTACGAGCATTTGCCTAAGGTGGATTTCTGCTAAACTTAAATAAATTACGAAATCGTAAAAGTAATCGCAATCGAAATGACAGTTTCAGCACGAACCCCAAGTCGGAGGAAGCATTCAGAGTACGGCAAACGGGCAAACATGCACAAACTCGTGTAATGCTCTGAGCTATTCCGGGAACATTGTTTGATCAATAAAAACAGAAAGCAGAAATCCAAATTTAATCTTACGACAGACTTTTTTCCAAATCTGAATGTAGTACATTTGCCAAAAGAAAAAACCTAATATAAATACAAAAAATAGAAAAGTAAACGAGAAATTTAAATAAATTAGAGTTAACATAGGATAACACAAAGTATTTTGTAATATTTCGATTGGAATTGCAAATAAGGATTTGTTATATTCTAGAAACTGTTTGAAGGATATTATGTTACAGTTAGAAATAATTGTCCTTTACTTTTTACAGGAATATTTTGTTTGGTATGAGATTAATTCGAGTTAGTGAATTTCAATACTTTTCCATTTGATTGGTTGTATTTTTTGTAATAACAATTTTAAAACCTAATTTGAAATAGGTTTAAATTTACTCTATTATTCTTGGCCTTAGTAAAAATTTGTTTCACTCTTTATTCAATACGGGTATATTACTCCGTTGTATTAAGTATTGAGCGTGACCCTAATTTAGTGTCGTGGATATAAGCTAGAAAATAGTATTTAAGCAATAGTTTGAAGTATATTATCTGTAGATTACATTGTCGAGGGGGATCTATCTCCGAACTCTCTTGCCCTGATATGGAAAATAACAGAGTGTAATACTGTGAACCATATCAACACAAGGAGTCTCTTTTTGATACACTTTCAGTTTTCAGGTATTGAATATGGAGCTATATGGTCAGTAAATAATAACTAGAACCCAATAAACTTTTTCTTTTTAAAATATTCTTACTCTACGAGCAGTAAAAATGAGTCAAATTTTGATACTATCTGAGTACTTCACGAAGTACCCAACCCACATAAGTGATTTCCATTTAAAACAACCATAGTATATCAGTTAAAAATCAGTTATTAACAATATTTAGATTAAAACATAAATTTGCCATCGGGTAACTGGGTAATTATAATTATTATAATTTTTTAGTTTCTTCGATCGAGGAATCAGCTTCCAAGATTAATACCATTTGAATTTGAAATATCATATTTTTAAATTCATAGATAAATGTATTAGTTCGGTGTCTTGTATATATAAAAATAATAAAAAATTATATATTTATATATATATATTCATATTTTGTTATTATTTAATTAAAATTAATTCATTCGCTTTGTTTTAAAAAAATTTTTATTTACCTCAAGTGCAAATCGCTTATTTTACGAAATCCACTTACATTTCGTTCAATTCTCAGACGATATTGTCTGAGAATTGCCCTAGAAATTTATATTTCATTGTGTAAAACAATTTTATTTATTCAATATCAGTTTTTATTTAGCAATTCTGTTGCATTATGTGTTTTCATATCTGAACATTAGTAAATTCTCTAACTTTCTATGAATGCAATATAAACTACTTCATTGATTTCATTTACAATGAGCAAAAAAATATGAAAAATATTTTAGGTGGTATTTAAAACAGTTAAATAAACTCTTAATTTATTAAATCAATTATTTTAAAAATTTATTATTACAGTATTATTTTTATTTAATTTATTAATTAATTACAATTTTATTGCACTTATATAGTGAAGTAGTAAAATATACCAGCCCCTAAAAGCAGGCAATGCAATAAAATAATTTTCAACTGTGCACTGCTAGGCACTTTTATTGCAGCTCGACAGCAGGACTATATTTTAATTTCCTATGTACATTTTTTACTCGTTTAAAATGTTATATAAAAAAATAATATTAATAAACAATAAAATAAATGATCATTGTCCTTTCTAATATTTTGTATCTTTTGTGCAACCTTTATAGCTAATATATGCGCATTTCATGCAATTAAAATTTATAGTCACTACTTCCTATTTCCTCACCTAACTTCGAATTTAAATTGATTGGTTTGTGCTGGCACTTGTTAAATTGTTAAAAATTTACACCGTAATTAATTATTCATGCAGAAAAACTTTTTTATCATTTTTTGCTTTTGCCGAACTTCAATCGTTCAACGCAATTATTTCAAACTTCCCGCCACTGCCTCAATTCCGAAATATTTCCACAATAAAAAAAGCAAGAAAAACCATTTTTAATTTATGCTATGAATTATTTTTGATTCAAATATTTCGAATTTCTTAATTTTCTATTGTCACAAACATTTTTTACAATGTAAATTCCACATTTTAAAAATATTCCCCCTCCTCCTCCTCCCCATCATCATCGTCCAAAATTTCGTCCTTTTTCAATTGCTAATAAAATCGAAAGTGAGCTTGTTAATTCATGCAACATGCGCCCAACTACGATTTGCGTTACTCGCATTTCAGTTTATTTTATTGTCATTCGCCAAGTGCGATATTCACAATTAACTTCCTAAAAATTGTTCCAAAGCACGGAGTAGGAGGAGTAGGTTTATAATAGAACCGGGAAGCCGGAATGAAAGAGAATAAAAAGCAAAACAAAAAAAAAAATTATAAACTAAATTCGAAAAGAACAAAGTTTCCATAATGAATTCACCCAAAATGTTACTTTGTCATATTTTGCAAGTTTGAATTTGAAACTGTCGGATTGAGTGAATTGTAGGCTAGGCAGTTAGGAGTTGGGGCACTCCGGGCAGCAGTAGCAGTGGTGGCCATGCGGTATACTTTGTAGCAGTTTGGCATGGGTTGGTTGATAAGTTTATTGATTTGTTCTTATCCGGCGTGTGCTTTCCTTTCGCTTCATTTAACATTATCCCATTACAGATTAGGAAAGTAATGAAGCTTTTATTATGAAAAACTTTTTTTTTGAAGCATACTCCGGCGCTCTGCTGGTACTGAAGTTAATTCGTTGGCTATGGACTGATGAAGGGGAAAAGCCAGCAGTAGGGCGGCAGCTATTACTCAATTTTGTCATTTCTATTGCTAGTGTCATTTGCAGAGTGTGACGATTATGAGAACTGATGTTGACGACAGCGACATAGGCAACGGCAACGACAGAGGCAACAGTAACGGCAATGACAACAGCAACGCCACTGTTACTGTTACTATCTCTGTTGACTGCCTGCTGCTATCATTTATTGACGGATTAATGACTTCTGATGGCGCACAGTGTGAGAGTTGATTTTGATCTTGGCGCGGTACGCAAGTAGATTGATGTCCGCGATATTGGGTGTCATTATTTTTAATGTTTTTCTTTTTTTGTGTTTCGTATTTGTGTTAACTGTGAGCTGCGCCACTGTAATCGTAGGTAAAGTCGATATAAAAGCCATTCAACGGCGTTATAAGCCATTGTCACACGAATGCGTTAATAAGAAATTAACAACAACAACAACAACAACGACGACGACGACAAGGCCAACTAACTAAGCCACAAACATTGTTTTTTGATATTTAATATAGCAAATGTAGTGTGAATATTTGTGTGTATAGACTTTTGTTTGTAGCACGCGTCCAACTGCCGCCACCCACTTAACAGGGTGTTAAGTTTGTTAAGCCGAAAATAATTTCGATTGATTACTGAATTATTTAGAGTCACTAATGAAGTATTGCAATCGCGTGACATGAAACTGAAATTCAACTTAAACATGCCTTAATAATGTTTAAGTAAAAAAACACGTGCAAATGCACGCACATGACTACAAACATAAACAGCACATATACTTGTACAAACACACATACACAAATATGTATAGGTGAAACCCAATTACTATGTACCAGAGTCCCTCGACCAATAGCAAAAAATCCAACAACAATAAACGCATTCAACATTGTTGAGATGTAGTTCGGGTGCCGTGCTTTTGATTTGGGTCCTTCGCTGCTGGTTAGGAAACCAAAATTGAAAATTCTGTTTCTGTAGTTTACGTAAATTGCAGTGCAACTACAACAATTGACTGGCAATTGCATTACAATGACTTTAAAGCTGAATAAAATTCCAAGTTGACCAGTGCTTGAAATCAGTGCTCCTAAACGCCCCCGCTGCGCTGAAGCCAACTACAAGCAAATCAGCATCAAATAGTCCAGCACTATTGCAATATCACATGCAAAGATAAACTCACAAAACGAAGTTACGTGCTGTCACTACTTAAGGAGCTCCGCGCAATTGCACTGTAGATATAGAGTAAGGTACCAAAGGTTTGTGGAATGACCACATCTATGAAAAAATGAACCGAACTTCAGATGTGAAGTATAAAATTTTGATAAATGAAATTTCTTTAAAAGATTAGCAAAATCACAAAGAAATATTTTAGTAAGAAAGACACTGAGAGTATAAATGAATGATATAGTTTTTGAAGGAGAGTCCATAGAAATCATAGCCATTCTATGTCTATAGGAACTACTACTAATCGGTAGTAACTTTGCTGCTGTTATAATGCTTGTATGCATTCAATAGTTT